ATGACGTCGCGTTGCCCAAGTTTCTCTGCAGCACGGGAAGGACTAAGGTACAGTAATAGCCCGGTTTACGTCGGGGATGCGTTCCTGCAAGGTGCGACGACGAATATGGAAACGACGTCAAAGAGAGCTAAACAATCACACGACGAAGGGTATGGCGAAGCCGTCTGTTAATGCGCGCATCTTTCTTCCCGGACGTACCCACAACATTACATTAAATTACAAAAAATACTGTACTCAACACGAGTGTACAGCAGTAAACTTGAACACATTATACAGGGTACAATAAGATACGGTACACTATTAAATGAAATCAGCAAAAATACAGTCCATAAGTAATATAGTGCACTCTACAGTACATTTCTTTATGCGACAGATACGAAAAAGGACGGATGCTGTCGGGATGTGTCGGTTGAGGCGACGGAAATCAGGTAGCAGTAATAATAAAGCGACGGCTTACAGTAAAACCTTGGATTGCGAGCATAATTCGTTCCGGAAACGTGTTTGTAATCAAAAGCACTCGTATATCAAATCACTCGTACATCAGTTGTGATCACGTGACGCTCGGCAGACAAAGCGTATACGTACTACTCATATTACAAGACCTCGCTCGTTTATCAAATCAATATTTATTTTAAAATTTTGCTCGTCTTGCAAAACACTCACAGACCAAGATACTCACAATCCAAGGTTTTAGTGTATTTGGGAAACGACGTGAAAGGGGGGGGGACATTAATCTGGGTAGTCCTGTTTAAGGGAATTGACTTAATCCACCAGTTGTCACAACTCTAGTGATGTCTGCGAACGCGTTTGGGGGACGGATTGACATGGTAACAAGCGGTTGCTTTCCCCTGCTGTGCGATCGCAGGCTCCTAGCCACGTGCTCGTCGGACCAGACGTGCACCATTTGGCGCACGGCGAACTTCACGATGCTCACGGAGCTCAGCATCCGCAGCAGTAACCCGGCCGAGAGCTCCCGTGGTTGGATGTGGGACTGCGCCTTCTCCGGGGATTCACAGTACATGGTCACCGGTGTGTGCCACTGGGCTTCAAGAGTTGTGGGGCGAAATACGAAAAGCCTCATACATTCCACATAAATTCCATGTCTCCGCTTTGCACATTACAGATTGCGTTTATGTGACAAACACAGTTCAAACTTATTGCATTTTAAACATCTCTTTTCGTGTTATCCCCAAACATAATCCCGATGGCACTATCAGTGTCATGTTACAAGACTAAAAATACATTTGGATCCGTCCGGTGCGATGCGACTCTCAGTAATAGAGAACGGCTCACGAAAGTGAATATTACAGAACTGCTTCTGAGATTCCTTCAACTGACATTAGGAGACAGCACTTTCCTGCCCACCCTGCTGCAGGCAGTATTGTTCATCACTTGACAGTCAAACCGATGTTAATTTTCAGTGCTGGAATTTAGGCAAATTTAAGTGTGAAACCAAATTTGATGAGATGACTCGTTTTGTGCCGACGTAGCTGACTGTGCTTGAGACCTAGTTTGATCACCATTGGTTGTCTGGATTCAAACCCATAATGTCAACATTGCCAGCTCAGTGTTCAGACATCTGAGCAACAAGGGCACCTCCACACTGAATACATTTTAAAATATCCAGCCATCTGTGAACCTTACAAGATTTTTCACCGATTAAAAGTCACCCAGGTTCGAACATCCTGTGTTAAAAAGAGCCTCGATGAATACCCGGTCTTCACCTTGAACGTGGCACAGAAAATAGTTGCGTGGACTTCACGACGTCTCCACTCACAGTCTCTATGCCCGTCGTGTGTCGCGTGCAGCATCGTCGGACAACACGGCGCGGCTGTGGAGTGTGGAGACGGGCGAGATAAAGCGCGAGTACACCGGCCACCAGAAGGCAGTCGTGTGCCTCGCCTTCAACGACAGCGTCATCGCCTGATTGGCCATGTCGTCTGCTGAGCCTGGCCTGGCCGGAGGAGGCCATCCGGGGGGGCCACCCTGTTCAGCAGCCCTTCTACGTCTCAAGCCACCAACAGCAGACGCAGGGTCGCAATGAGCTGTGCGTGAACATTGCATTTTGCTTCACCGTGTTCGTCAACTTGCCGGTCTATATGTCCACATTAGTTGACCAGGAAGTGGCGGCATCGGTTAATGTCCGGTAGATAGCTTAAATTTTACATTCAGAGGTCACAGTGGTTCACGAATGTGTGGTCAATGGTGTGGTCGGTATTTCTTCAATCATGTGGGGGGCTGCGATATTCCACCTGTGGAAGTAGTGGGTGGATCTGCCATGAGTAGTGCAAAATAAATGAAATCATGTGTTTAGATACAAACAAGGCTGTGCAACATGAACTAACCTTTTTCGCGAGACATATGTATTCCGCTGTGTGGGTTTTCTTCACAGCGAGACGCTGTCGTAATAAAATTAGCACATGTAAGTAGTTGACGGCGTAAGGAAGGCAAGTGAAAGTTTCATTCACAATAAATGTCCATTCCTTTTTGTGTGCTTTTCCCGTGCGTTGTGATGCGCGAGAGAATTTGGGCGGCTTCAGAGTATATTCCACACACCGCACATTGCTAACGCGAGGGCTGAAGCGGGCATATATTTCTTATTTTTGATGCCGTCATGCAAAACAACATGCGTTGTAATTTTCTACCATTTTCTGTTTCTGGAGCACGATCATGGTGGAGTGGAAGGTAGCTAAGTTATTGAACTAGATAAGGCCCACTGAGCTATATAGCTCTTTGTCAGAAGCGACCGAGCCACAAATAATAGCTCAACGAAGAGGCTTATCGTGTGGGTATTTGTAGAAGCCAAATACTCTTAAACGCATGTTTCAAAATGTGGAGGGGAAAAAGCGGAGGACTCGGAGAACAATCCACGCGACCACGAGGAGAACATGCAAACTCCAATTATACAGTTTAACACGTAGGCTTTCGTGACCAATATCCATAATACAGGTTTTTTTTGGTGAGATTGCGTAAATATGTTGTTAAACCCGCCACCACCCGAGACAGCCAATTAGTAAGGGTTGTCACTTAAACAGAACGTGGCCAATTCGTCATTAGTACAGCACACCGGTATGTTGGAGAGAAAATCCACAACATTTACAATGTGAGTACGACGTTTCGCCAGTAATTACAATTAGCATCATCAGGCGGAGAGTCAAATATACAGGCATCGGGACCGAACCCATGACCTGTTTACCATTTGAAGGAGTTAACATCTCAACACCGCGACGTTCATAGCACATGCAACTTATCCTGCATGGGTGAGCAAGCATATAAAATTGTAGCTGACTATGAATCACTTTCTTCAAGTACCGTACATACGTGTGCTTTATATTTTCAAATTCAGTTTCCCAAATGCCATGCATCCCTAATGATTGCTTTGCTTTATCCCGATCTTCCTACAATAATAATAGCTCCAGGTATGCATATGCCTGTTTTCCATTTTTGTTTTGGCTGACTTAAGCATGATTTGTTTTTCACATATTTTGAGCCAAACTTTGCATCCATATATTTTCTGCAGTTCATTTCCATTCTTCGAATGGCTCCATCATCAGCCGATCTGAGGTGAAGTCCTTGCTCAAGTTTATTTCTCACATTCGATTATCGGCCCCCACCAGGCAGGCCAATAATGCCCTCTTGCAGGCCAGGTGCTGAGTCGTCTTGTGCCCAGAGGGGCCAGCTGCCACTGGGTGCTCTTTCAAATGTTGTGAGATGAGATGCGAGATGTAAATTGCTCTGAGACACCCCTGTGTAAGGCGCTGTGTCAACAAATCACTTGAACTTGGCTTTACTCGTCAATGATATAAAACCTTTTCTAAATTTACCTTGCTCACCGATTTGTTGGCGTATAATTTTGTCTATTACATATTTCGTTCCACATAACCTTCGTGGTCAGTGTCAATATTGCCAAACTTTGATAAACACCGAAATTACGAAAAAAGGCCCACTGCTGTTCTTGATCTCAGTATTGTACTGGAGTCGAGTTAATTAATGTTACCAAGTGGATCAGGCTGTATACCTAGTGATAGAGTTCATGAATGTTAACCACTTGACTCAGGCTATAACTAACGACAGAGTTCATGAATGTTAACCACGTGGCTCAGGCTATAACTAACGACAGAGTTCATGAATGTTACCACGTGACTGGGTATAACCAACGACAGTTCATGAATGTTAACCACGTGACTCAGGCTGTAACTAACTTCAGAGTTTATGAATGTTACCACGTGACTGGGTATAACTAACGACAGAGTTCATGAATGTTACCACGTGACTGGGTATAACTAACTACAGAGTTCATGAATGTTACCACGTGACTGGGTATAACCAACGACAGAGTTCATGAATGTTACCACGTGGCTCCGGCTATAACCAACGACAGAGTTCATGAATGTTACCACGTGATTGGCTATAACCAACGACAGTTCATGAATGTTACCACGTGACTGGGTATAACTAACTTCAGAGTTCATGAATGTTAACCACGTGACTGGGTATACCTAACTACAGAGTTCATGAATGTTACCACGTGACTGGCTATAACCAACGACAGTTTCATATTCTTGGTTCTTTCGGTAAAGTCACGTAGAAGGGAAACAATACAATAATAAAAATATGAAACAAAATTCTCACGACGTTTCGACTGCAACACTAGCAATCATCATCAGGTTTGAAAACCACAGCAAGAATTATTTTTTAAAAAACACCACTTTTTTCAACTTTTCTTGCTGTGGTTTTCACACCTGATGATGATTGCTTGTGTTGCAGTTGAAACGTTGTGATAATTTTATTTTTTACATTTTTATTATTTCATTGTTTCCCTTCTACGTGACTTTACAGAAAGAACCAAGAATATGAATCCCTGCAGTCACGAAAGCTTTAAATCAAAATTTAACGACAGAGTTCATGAATGTTACCACGTGACTGGGTCTAACCAACGACGGAGTTAATAAATGTTAACCACGTGGCTCCGGCTGTCACTCACGATACGAGGTCGGGAATTCTGACCAATCGAGACGCCCGTTGTGGGCGGACGCAACGGGGCGAACCCGGAAGTGAAGCGCGGGAAATCGCGGCCTCCTAGGGAGGAGCCCGCGACTCCCAAACAGCTACCCGCCTCCTCCTTCTTCCTCGCGCGTTTGTGCCGGCTCAGGTGTCTGTCTCCACCCCTCCGCTCCCCTCTTACACGCCTCCCGGCACCCACAGGCGAGCCACGCGCAATTTAGAGGCGGCCTCCATGAGCTGAGCAAACCCCGGGCTCTCGGTCGGCTCGCTCGCCACATGGTTGCCGTCTGCTGCCGCGCCCGCTCCTCCTCCTGCTCCTCCTGCTGCGTGTGTTGTGTCTGGTCGCCCGCGACTGCTCAATCCCGGCAGCGCGCACGATCAATGTCGCTTCTGTTGAATTCGCCCTGGCGACAACCCGCGGTCGGCCGTGACCCGCTGTCCGTTGGGGAGTCGCGAACGATGAGCGCGACGTGAAATGTGCCGCGAAACGAGAGCGGTGGTTTGACGTTGCGCCGACGTTGGCTCGGCGTTTTGATGTTTACATCCGTGGGGGTGGAGGGGGGGCTCACGTGCGCCTCGAAATTCAACCGTAAAACAAACAAACACCGCAATGCACGCACGTGTCGGCCTCAACTGCGTTCGTTGCATGCCCCTTTTTGCGCGTGGTCACAGCTTCGCAACATCTGCTGGACGATGTCGGATGGTATAAGAGCGAGCGGCGAGGTGTGATTGACACTCGGTGACGGCGCTGCTGATGAGACTGAATTTGATCGGATCCACCGCGATCGCAGTGATTGGATCTTGTGTAGCGTGCAGTGATGAAGGCCTGTTGCGTTAGCATCGCTATCCTATCGCTGTAGGAATTCAGTGAATGGATGTCGATGGGGGCTTTTTAATCATGCCGCTCCATCGACTTACTTGCTGATGTCGCGAAGGTGACACAGAATTTAACCAAGAATAAATGATTTTACATTCGTCAATAAGACTGCCAACGCAGCAGCGTTACTAAATAATGTAATTTGTGTACTTTCACACGCACGACTTACGAATTCTAAATAATGAATAGCCTGTTGGCCTCCTTCCCATACATACCCTGTGTGTGTGTCTGCATCAGCATTCTGGGAGTGCATAATTTCATCGGCATTGATCGCATCGACTAAGTGCAAACTCCTCGGTCGACCTGCCAAAGTTGGGCCGATGTTCGCACGCCGTTGGAACATTTGCGGTCAAAACGCCGCACGATTACTGGGTTGTGGTTGTCGCTGTTTCTTGCTAAGCGATGTTCATCATTTCGACGTTCCGTGTTTATTATTAAGACCTCGCTTTGTGTGATGGTTCTACTGCGTCAGACGAAACTGACGCAGCAGTGATTCCAAGCCATCGTTACGTTCGAACGCCCATGTAATGTTGACACCCTCTGTTCATGTTCATGTTTCCCACGCTCATTGTAATTTTGACACATCCGCACCCACCCATCCACTCACCCACCTCCACTGCCAACCTAAAGTAGGCAAACATTACACGCATCCTGACTCTGTGTCAGCCCAGTTCACAATATTCGCGTTATACCTTGGACGAGTATACGCGATTACGATTCGTCTGCAAGTACATAAGAGCTATATATATTTTTTTATTGCGTGATCAGTAACTGGGGCCTCTTGAAAACCACAGCCGCGCCCGCCTGCACTCTGCCTCCCGAAGGCGAGGGGAACCTATAATCATCGGCAGAGCATTAATCCGAAGTAAAAACTGGCTCCCCCCCCCCCACACTTCTGCAGTGGAATGCCCCCATGTCAGCCGCCGGCTCTTGCGTTCTTAGGTGAACTCTGTGGGTTGTCCTCTCATTTCCACCCTCCAGAGGCCGCTCGAGGAAGCGACGCGCTGATGAGTGCCCAGAAGACGAAGCGCCCGCGTGCCCGTGTGTGAGCGAGCCTCCCTTTCCTCCTTCCTCCATGGGTGAAACGACATCGGCTGCGCTGGTGTTCGCCTGGTGGGTTTCCGTGAAATAAACAAAAAAATCATCACCCCCACCCCCTCCTCGTTCGGCGTTGTACGGTACCGTATGTACGTTGCACTTCTTTTTGCGCCTCGCGTAGCCAACCGTGCTCACCGGAGGTCGTTGTTCCGCACACCTCCGAATGGCTACGTACGGTGCGAAAGAAAGTTCAACATACAGCGCTTGTACCATGCACTCCTTTGTCAGTCCACTGCTGGATGACGGGGTGGGGGGGGGTGGTCACACGCGAGGGGGGGGGCACCCTGGGGTGGAAAGTTGGGGGCATTGCCTCGCTATGCGTGCTTCCACTGGTAGCAGAATAACATCGCAACTATACGGCCCACTCAATGTATCGTGCCTTCTGTTCTTACCCACCCCAACTGGACATTTGTGAAAAATAACATAGCGCATCGGATTCCTCCAGTATAGAACAATATTGTTATTCTGAATGAGTGCCGTTGCCTGGAACGTCAGCCTGCTTTATACATATCTGTTGTGAGGCAGTGTTGAGTGAAAAACGAGTGGTTATTTATTTGTGCCCGTTGTACTACTCCCAATGAAGGCCTGTAATTTGTTGCATTCAAATAGCCTTTGGCCACACAAAATGCGTTATCGTTTTAAACAGGACACTTTACACAAGAGTGAAATACACAGCAGGTTAACACGTGGTAATCGTTATATTTAAATGGATACATTTCAAAGAATTGTTATATTTAAATCGCGATTTGAATGCATTCTCTGACCACATCACCAGGAATACATCCAGTCTCTTTAGACCTTGCAAGCTAAGTGGGTTTGTGCCTGGACAGTGCTTGAATGGGTGCCCACAGATGCATAATACTATAGGTGCTATTAGGTTGCTGTGGGGACATTAATGTTTCATTGAGACGTTAGTGAAAGGCACCTTACAAATTGATGTAAAATATTATTTGCGAGAGTCGAGGGCAGTGCGACAAGATCCATTGCGATGTCCTCTGCTCCCCGTGTTTAAACTCTCCCCGCCTTCGCTAACCAGATAGTGACCAGCGTGGTGAAGTCCGGTGAAGTAACCCCCACGGTCCAGCAGTGGATTGACGCAAGAGTTTCCACACGTTTGCACACCCAGTAAACGTGTCAACTTTGGGTCAAAGTTGGGCACGCGGTTGGAAACGTCGTACCGACGTTGGCCCAACGTTGGCCCAACGTTGGCCCAACGTTGGCCCAACGTTCCATGTGTGCCAGGCCGCCGTTGCCTGCGTGTGCTTTTATTCGGAGCGTGGACCAAAACTATCCCCATGCATCAAGTTCCCTGGATGGGAACTTGATGCGTGGGGAGTGGTTAGGTCATACCATGTCTGCAGTGGGGGGTACTCGAGAATCCTCCACACTTAATTTCACAATCTACTTCACAAATACTCCCCACTGTTACTTTCAGCAATGAGCGTTGATCCTCAGGTTAATATTTTATTGCACCTACGTCGCCACGTAAACTATTGTGGCATTACGGGATTATAAGTTGACACCTGTGGTTTACCCAACCCCCCCCCACTCCTCTTGTGAACATGTGTCAGCGCCTGTGTGCTGCTGCCATTCATTCAGCACCTGAAGCTGGCTAAGTTAACATCTCCTCGCTCCTCACCTCCGTCCTCTCTGCTCCGCTGCTCCCCATCAACACGCTCAGTGGATGCCGGGGCCACGTGGACACGAGTGAACGAAGCGTTGCGTCTTGGTTGCTTGGCTGCTTAAGTGCTGGGCGCGTGGCCACGTGTGCGTGAGTTCCTGGAGCGTCGCGACGGGTGCTGCCCCCACGTGCATTCATAATTATAAACCGTCTTCTTATGTTATGGCTTTATTGTTTATCATTTTGTTATGGTGAATTTTACATGTTGAAAACTATTTATTATTCCGCCGGTCTATTTAATCAAAAATCGCTTACCCGCTAAAGGTGGAATGTTGGTCCAAGGGTTCCAACAACATGCTAATGTTGGCCCGACATTAGCTCAACTTTGGCACGTATACCGGGTGATGCAAGGTGTTGCTATACCTACGGTATGTCGGTGAAATTGTTGTGGTATTCTGATGTCCACCACACCCATGGAGCCATTTAAAATTAACTCATGCCACACCTTGGCGTCAAAGACATTTTACAGCACCTGCCCAATGAGCAGAACCTGCTCCGGGGGCTGTAAATAACTTTTTTTTTTTGAGCACGGTGACTTGATTGTCCCATGCACAAAGACATCAAGATACTACGACGCCCCCTGCATTCTTGAGGTGTCAGGCCGATCTACTCCCTTACACGCTCGTTCTATCCCACCCGTTCACATGCTCACGTTTGTGCTATCTGGAGTGGGAGCGTGGCAGTTAGAGCGCTGTGCTATGAACCCGGCCACCCGAGCTCGATTCCCGCTTACGGCTCACACCAGTTACGATTTTCTGAACTGGTCCTGAGCCTACCCGAGATCGACTCAGCCTCAAATGAGTACCTGGTGCAGTGTGTAAACATTGCCACGAGGGAGGCAAAGATTGACGGGCGTGGTGCTGACGACTCACCCCCCCCCCACTGTGCTGTGCCGACCTTCAAAGGTGCTCGCGGACAGTACTTGCCTCAACAGTCTGTTAAGGCTATACAGGGGATATTTGTCTAATCGTCTACCTACTCATTCTCTCACTCACCTACACACATTTGTGGCATCTGGCCCATCTACTCACCTACCTACCTACTCACACGCATATTCACTCACTCACGTTAGTGGTATCCGGTTCACCTACGCGCCGACCTGCTCACCCATCCACTCACCCCATTTACGCGGAGCTCACCGCCGGTCGCTGTTGGTGATTTCTCGTTAACTCTCAACCAGGTCCACAGCAGTCAGCTCACGATGTAAATGTTCAGTAAGGCTCACAAAGCGTTACCACGGCACCTTCCTTTGTGGGAACTTTTGCGCTGTAAGAACGGCGCAAACACTACATCTTTACTAATTTATTCTTGTGGGCAGTGTTCATTTACACAAACGGCACCGTTAGCGTATTAACTTTGCAACCTTTTTTTTATTCCAAAAGTATTTTATTATTAACAAAACGATATCAGGTACACAACACAAAGGATATGAAAGGGGGTTGACACCAGCACACAAACACATTATGGATTGCAGTGCAATGGGTAACCTATCTAAACCGCATGTTTCGATTAACTCTACAACCCTCATGTCTTCCTAACCTCTGATACCCCTGTAAGAGAAGGAACAAAAAAGGGGAAGGGGGGGGGGAAGAGTGCCAAAATGCCCTAATGAATGCTCTTAAGAATCAATTCCCCCTGGAGGAGCGGTCGTGAAGGGGTTCCATGTTTGGTGGTAAGCTTCCTCCCTGCCCCTTAGTTTTTCACTTAGATGCTCCAGAGCAACAATTTTGATCATTTATTGGCCCATTCCTGCAGTGTTGGGGGAGCGTGCTTTTTCTAGTTGACTATAATGGTGCATTTTGCCGTAACATTGAACATTTGCAATAATGTATTTGCCTCCCTGGATGAATTTGGCAACCTTTAACAACTTGCGAGTCACACCGTGTGGCCTCCGCAGTGCCCAGTTGGTGGATGGTAAAATGAGAACCACTTTGTGGGACGTGGGCAGTCATTATTACATCCATATTATTCACGCCCACCATGTATCGCCCTGTGTGAGAGAGTGAACGCGATGAGATCACAGAACTACTCTCAAGGTCATGACACAGTAAACCTCTGAAGAATGGTCATCGCACGTCAAGCATCTGCTGAATTTAGCCAAATTACGTGCATTTTATTTAAGTGATGTGTTTTCTTATGCAGTTGTTGGTGGTTTCTGCCCAGATTTGAGCCCAGGATTTTTGCGGTGACCCTTGCTGACCTGTCCATATTGGACATCTGTGAAAAAGAGCTTCATAGCTCATCGGATTTCTCCAGTCTAAATAAATATTTTGATTTTGGTGCCGGCCACCTCTTGTGTATTGGTTTGTGATGATCATGCGACGCTTCTTCTCCTCGCGGAAAAATTATTGCTGTGGGCAGTGTTGCATCACGTGATCGATGGTTTGCCCCTGGTGATCTCAGTCACTTTTGCGTGATGCTGTCAGGGTGTATTGCTGAGCACACTGGACTTGTTATTCAAAGGCAACCGGTTCGTTCTCCTGGGGCAGCATTTGAAATAACGCGGACATTTTTCAAATTCCTCCTCCTCTGCCCACTCAGCAGATATACGTGGCTACTCCACAACGAGTGAATTGGCAGATCCGTGCGTGACAGGGTAAAGTGTTTGTACCCCCCCTCCTCCTCTTCTGAAGACGTCTGGCGGGCGTGGAAGAGTGGACCTAAAATATCCTCCAGTGGAAGCCCTCCCCACCAGCAGCGGCGCGAGCAAGCGATCGCGGTGTCGGCACCTTCGCGGCAAGAGCTCGAGCTTGAAGGTGACGCCGAGCGCTGCACCACGGAAGCCGATCGGTGCGCTGTCGTTGTGTCTCAGGCGGCGAGCGGTGAGCTGCAGTTGACGGTGGCACTGGCGCTGATGATGCGATCCAAGTACGTGTGCACGCTGCGTGTTCTGCTGCTCGCCTTCGCGCTCCTGGCCGCCTCCAAGCTCATAGCGGACTCGAGGCAAGGCGCTCACGACGGTTTCTCCCCCCCCCCCTTCTTCACTGTCACCACCACTTGTCGCGACCATTCACCCGTGACACTTGTTCACGCAACTGCTTACGCTACCCCTCTTCATGCACTCTCCTACCTCTTATAGCTGACTGCCCTCCACGCTCTCCCCTACCTCTCCCCTCTCATCTCACTCTACTGCCCTCCACGCTCTCCCCTACCTCTCCCCTCTCATCTCACTCTACTGCCCTCCACGCTATCCCTACCTCTCCCCTCTCATCTCACTCTACTCCCCTCCACGCTATCCCCTACCTCTCCCTCTCATCTCACTTTACTGCCCTCCACGCTCTCCCCTACCTCTCCCCTCTCATCTCACTCTACTGCCCTCCACGCTCTCCCCTACCTCTCCCCTCTCATCTCACTCTACTCCCCTCCACGCTGTCCCCTACCTCTCCCCTCTCATCTCACTCTACTCCCCTCCACGCTCTCCCCTACCTCTCCCCTCTCATCTCACTCTACTCCCCTCCACGCTCTCCCCTACCTCTCCCCTCTCATCTCACTCTGCTCCCCTCCACGCTATCCCCTACCTCTCCCCTCTCATCTCACTTTACTCCCCTCCAAGCTATTCCCTACCTCTCCCCTCTCATCTCACTCTACTCCCCTCCACGCTATCCCCTACCTCTCCCCTCTCATCTCACTCTACTCCCCTCCAAGCTATTCCCTACCTCTCCCCTCTCATCTCACTCTACTCCCCTTTTAGCTATCCCCTACCTCTCCCCTCTCATCTCACTATACTCCCCTCCACGCTCTCCCCATCTGTCCTCTGGGCTCGGCCTGGCTCGGCTCGGTGGTGGCATCTGACTTGGGTGTTCGTTGCCGCCCCAGGAAGGGTCATCGCCCCTCCGTGCCAGGCTCGGTTCTGACGAGGCTGTGGGGGTCAGCGCCCAGCCCCTCCGACCCCTTGGCCGTTCGCTTCTGGGGGAAACCTAGCCTGGCCGACAAGTTCTGGCGGACGAAGGTTTCGCAGGTACGTCCGGAGCGAGGTAGTATTTTGACCCCCGTAGAATCCTAATTGAACCAACCCCACTTTCGGTGGTACTTCAACCCCCCCCCCCCCGCCTCCACCAGCCAATTGGCTCGTTGTAATTTTTTCAAGCCAGCCATGATGTAGGGACTACCCCTATCGATCTTGTGCCTTAATAGAGACAAAAGCCAATTTGAGCAAGATTGTAAGAAACCCCAGATAGATACCCAAAACCAAAACCCTATGGGGTATTCTAGCTCCTGGGTGGGTGCAGCCATGTGGCTCACATAATAATTGTACCCTGGGGTCTAATTCATTCAATCTTTTTCTGACCCTGATGGGTAACTTTCCCGCAGGAGGAGTAATTTTTACTCGAATAGAGAACTTGTTCTCCTCGGGCTTGAGATAATACATTTAGTGTTCTCATGCGAGGGTCACACTTCTTGGGAGTATAAATGCTCTCTCTTAGTACCATGGAATGGGCGTCCACATTCAGGCTGGTGCTAGCCAATGCCAAGCTCGCCGCACCTCCAATTAGCACGGTCGGCTATGTACGGTGCGAAACAAGTTCAACATACATGCATATATACTGCGAGTTAAAATGTGCAACCCTCCAATGTTGGATGAGAGCCTTGGGATTATTTGACCGCACTTAATGACGCCGCTCGGTCCACGGCGCACCGCCTATTCTTCTCGTCGTGCGAGCCGCGGACAAAACGTTCTTCGCCGCCTCCGTCTTCCCACGCAGGACGAGAAGGCGACGGCCGGAGCCACCGCCGGGGACGGGGAGCAGCAGGAGAAGCCGGGCGAGGTGCCCCACGCGATGGACGATCGGCGCGACCCCGGGGGGGCGGCGGCGGCGGCGTCCCCGGTGGAGGAGAAAGAGGAGAAGGAGGTTCGTGAGCATAGCCCCGTCGGCATGAGGCTCGTGCATCTGGACCTCAAGGGGGCTGCCCCACAGATCGGGTACCTGGAGCAGGTGAGTGCGGCGGCCGTTGATGAAACCGATTCTGGCTCCCGCCGTAAATACCACCGCTCGGGTGTTTTTGGCGGTCGCGTTCTCTCCGATGCGCTTCGGCGGGTTGTGCCGCGCGCTGTTCGGCGCGACGGTGTCCCGGCGTTTCGCTCGACGTGCTGGGAGCATCTTCAGGAGGCGAATTTGAGCGGCGCACGTAATCACTTAGTGATTTCTGCAAAATGTAAGCACGTAAACCTTGGTAAATACACAGTTATTTGACTTTGTATGTGCAGTGACAATTCGATTCCTTGTTGTGGCCTTCCAGTAATGTTCTTGTTTCGTTCTCATTCTTTAAACAGATTGAACCTTCAGCCACGGTTCTATTCCAGCTGTAGTTCTTATCAAACTGCTTACCCCGTGGCACACCGTGGGTAGGGGGAGGAGTAGAGTCGGTTGTTCAAAAGGGCACGCAGGGACAAATGATCAGGAGAGGGGAAGGGGGGACGGAAGTCCCCAAGACGGGACACGGAGGGCCGCGTTTCAAGATGAGCCGCAGGAATGAAGAAGGTGTGCTTGTGCAGGAAGGGGAGGAGAGGGAGAAGGAATGGCCTGGCCACGATGTCGGGGATGAGAGGGTGATAAGTGGGGAGGGCAGAGCGGGAGAAGAGAGAAGGAATGAGCGAGGAGAAGTGAGCCGCACAAAGGGGACGATGGGGAGAGGGGAAGGGGTTCAGAGCGGGGGTGGTCATACACGGGTGTCATGTGACTTACGGGAGGCTTGAACTGATTTAGAAAGATTGTTCTCGTTTGCGATACTAACACTGGTTGATGTGTGTGTTGACATGTACCAACACACGCTAACACACATTGCAAGCAACAACACGCAGAAACGTGTTAATAGCATATATGCTATATATATTCTTGGTTCTTTCGGTAAAATCACGTAGAAGGGAAACAATACAATTAAAATATGTAAAATAATTAAATTATCACGACGTTTCGACTGCAACACAAGCAATCATCATCAGGTGTGAAAACCACAGCAATAAAAAATTTTCTTGCTGTGGTGAGAATTTTATTGTTTTATATTTTTTATTTTATTTTATTGTTTCCCTTCTACGTAACTTTACCGAAAGAATCAAGAATATGAATCCCTGCAGTCACGAAAGCTTTAAATCAGCGTATATGCTCTTTGTGCATATGCAAATCCACCAGCATTTCCTGGAGAAGTGCATTGTGGTCCTCTTGTCCGAGCCACCATCACAGGGCACTTATTCAGAAACTGCTGATGATTCTTTTGCATCAATGCACAAAGGCTCAGTGCTTTGTACACATTGCCGTGCGTGTTGTTTGAAACTTGTAGTTTTGGCAACCCTCACTGTTATTCCGTAATGATGGGGTTTTCTCATAATATACAGATTTGAACACGATAATATACATAGCGACATGCGTGACGCTAAAACACTGACATTCATGCTGACACGTGTGCTGACACATGCTGACACATGCTGACACGTGCTGGCACTCGTGATGCTGACTGTGACGCGAGTGCTGACACGCGTGCCGACACACGTGTCCCATCGTGTGACCGCGTGTGCAGCTGATCCCGTACTTGACCACGCTGGGGGCGGACGGGCTCCTTGTGGAGTACGAAGACTCGTTCCCCTACGAGGGCGAGCTGCAGCTCCTGAGCAGCCAGTACGCGTACAGGTGAGCTCCTGATACGTTCACCTGCACCGTTCGGCCTGGGGCCCAATAGAAACGGCAACAACAACGTCTCTTTTGTAAAACCGTCTTTCGAACGACCCAGCCACGCTAGTTTAGACGATGTTATACATATAAATTACCCATATTTGTTGGTTCTGTTGTTTGTAATGGCTTGCAGTCGTGTTATGAAGTTGTAATTTTAGTGGTATTACGACAGCAGCCTGCGTAGGACGGTGGCGGTTTTGTCAGGAAAATCCATCCCGACGCTGCGTCTCTCTGGGTTTAAGGCCCCATATTCTGAGTCACGGCTCGGCTCAGGCTCGGCTCTGGCTCAAGTGAACTGTGGCTCAAAGCCGTGCTTAACTTGAGCTGGCTCTGAGCATGGTCCCAGCCACTCTCAGGATTTTCACAAGCCGAGCTTGATGATGTCGTCGGCGTAATGAGTGCATCAAGCTGGCTGTGGCTTATGGGGAGTTTCCTGCCTTCGGGAGGGCAGAATGCAGGAGCACCCACCATATATAAGGGGCCCAAGTAATCGACCACGTCAAAAGTGATTTATAATTTTATTTTATTAATTGACTGGATAGGCGAGTTGTCCCAGCTTTAATGTATGTTTGTTGAATTTCTTTCGCACCGTACATAGCCAGCCATGCTAATCGGAGGTGCGGGGGAAGGACAACAAACTTAACACAAAAAGCAGTTAGAACGAAATGAGTTTTCAATCTAGATTTCAAAGTGCATTGTTCCAGGGGGCTTCCTAATATCGGAAGGAAGAGCGTTTGAGATGGCCGTAAAAGCACATCTGAAAGCGCGCAATGCGGTGACCGTCTTTGTTCGATGGCCAGCCAAAAGCCGCTGCTGCGAGGATGACCGGGGTTCACGTGAAAATGTTCAACTCCCCGCCATAAAAAATCTTGAGTTTTCCGAGCGTGCGTGTACCCTCTGTGCCCACGTGTGCACCTCCAGCATGGAGGATATAAGGAAGATGCTGCAACTGGCCGAGGCTTTCAGGCTCGAGGTCATCCCGCTGGTGCAGACGTTCGGCCACATGGAGGTGAGTGCCGTGGGGGCAGCGTTCGTGCGGCTGCTGTGGCGCCCTGCTCACTCGCATGTTCACGGCTAAGCGCGTCGACGCTTCGCCCGCTATGTTATTGTGACAACGATGATGATGACGACGGTGAGGCATTGGGGGCGCGTCGTTGGTGCGCTGCACTGTGAAACCCGGTCACGGTGGGTTGAATTCTCAGCCACGGCTAACGTCAGTGGCAAGTGATGTCCAAACCTCTTAGCCCCCCCCCCCCCCCCCCCAAGCACCACTCCACACTGAATCTCTCGTCGCCGCACCCTGTGAAAACAGACGCTGCTCCGTGCAGCTCACTTCTGCTCGCTCCTTCCTTCTCTCTCCCCTCCCCTCTCATCGCCCTCTCATCCCCGATATCTTGGCCCGGTCGTTGCTTCTCCCCCTCCTACTTTTCCTTCTCCGGTGCTCCTGCTCCTCCTTTCATCCTGCTGCCCATATTGTGCCATGCCCTTTTCCCATTCCATGTTCTTTCCCTGACATATCCTTGACTCCAATTCCTGTGTGTGCCATGTTCAACAAAGCGAAAGCACGTACATTCTATCGCTGATGGAATTCTGATATTTGTATGACATACATGCATATTTGAGAATCCCCTATCAGCGCACGATGGGATTGTGTTCCCGGTGGCACCGTAAAAGCACCGGTCAGTGCCCCTACGCGACACTGTGTACGCGTGGTGTGGCCAGTGCCACCCCCGTGACCCCATGTGTGGGTGATGTGGCCCGAACCCCCCCCCCCACCCCGTGACTCGGTGTTACGCGCGGTTGTGGCCTGCCGCCCACAGTTTGTGCTGAAGCACGAGAAGTACGAGGGCCCTGCGCGAGGTCCCGCGCTACCCCAACTCGCTGAACCCGCACCGCGCCGGCGCCCTCGAGCTGCTCTCAGCCATGGTCACGCAGATCCTGCTCGCGCACCCCCGCGCGCGCTACCCTGCAACATCGGCTGCGACGAGGTGCGCGCATATGTGCGTGCGCGATCAATGGTTGGACGACGGGTGTGTGTGCGCTTATCGACCATGGCGATGCGTGGCAGATGAATGGGGCTCTGATGAGGCGTGGACAGATTAAGGAGTGTCAGGACAGGTTTGGGCGCCGGTGTACAGGCCAGGATTGCGGGTGCAGGCTACGTAGAGGTACGGGCCTGGATTGTGGGTGATAAGAACAGCACAGGTGGTGCAGGCCAGGCCTTTGGGGGTGCTGGCTTGAATCGCGGGTGCATAGGCGCGAGTATTGCAGGGGGCATGGAGACTGGCGATGGGAATGGCGATCAGCGTGGGGCCGGTGTGGGGTGCAGGCAGGTAGCCAGCAACAGGAGGTCTGGCCAGGCTGGCGGAGTGTACGCAGGAGTCTTCTGACTGTCGGTGGTCGTGCGCAGGTTTACCACCTGGGCGAGAGCCCCGAGTCGAAGGAGTAGTGGCTAAGCCAGAACGGCTCTCTACCTGGGCCGAATGTTCCTGGGCCACCTGGCCGCGGTGACGCAGCACGTGCGGGAACAGCGCCCCGAGGTTCGCGTACTCGTGTGGGACGACATGCCTGAGCGGCAATCGACGAAGCCGCCCTCAAAGGTCACACGGGGTCGCACGAGGCCGCACGAGGTCGCACAGCCATTTGAGTGTGAGTGTGATATAGTTTGAGTGGCGGTATCGTTTGAGTGGCCGTATTGGTTGAGTGGCCGTATTGGTTGAGTGGCCTTATGGTTTCTCAGAGCGTGTAAGAGGGAGAGACTTCACAGAAACCCTGCTGACAGTCTCAATGTTTGTACCCACTGGCATTTCCCCATCAGAGTCCGGTATCGCTGGAGATGTAGAGCCCATGCTGTGGGGCTACTCGCCTAACCTCAACGTCCAGCAGAAAGGTATTTCCCAGTTTACATTGTACGTATTTCCGTGTGCATGGTCCTTGGAAAAGTCCATTGATGTGGGCGTTATTTTATCATGCTTTACCACCGCGGTCATTGCGGGTTGGCGAAGGCAAACATTATGGATGTGCCTGCATAGAAGTACAGTACAACAATGGTTTTGGCTGCACCACGTAGGCCTGCAGCCGCCAATAACAACCGACTTGTTGGTCGCCCTTCCCAGCGCGATCCAGGCTGAAAATTCGGCTGAGCTCCTGGGGGCTGATGAGATCAGCCGCATTCCTGGTGATTTTGTTAAAGGCCAAGCTGATGTCAGCTGTGTTTTGATTGCACTGCGGGGTCTTTTTGTAAATGTCGCGCTGCTTCACGGGGCGGCGTTCTTACCCAATGCCTCGAATGTACCCGTGCCTCCAGTGGAACACGTGCACAAGTACGCAAACAGTGGCTTCAAGGCGGTGTGGTTTGCCAGCGCGTTCAAAGGTGAGCGATGGAACGAGGTGGCGTGTCCATTGTCACGAGGTAGGTCACGACCTGGGATGGGCCCCACCTGGAGGCCAGGTCAGCTGCGTTCAATCACAGTCCAAGCAGATATGTAGTTGCGTTGCAATTAGGGACCTAACCCAATAAAGCAAACCGGACAAATTGATATGAGAGTTGTCTGGAGAAGATGGTTTTAAATTGAGCAACCATTGGAAAGATGTCATAAACCAAGTCAAACTTTAGCTGCCTTATAATGGTACAGCCTTTCCATTTAGCTCGCGCAGTAAACCTCCGCATCCATCGAACCCCCTGCAGCATAACAAAAGGCGGCTTAACTTAGCCCTTCCCCCCCCACCCACGTCCCTGCCTGGCTCCTCCAACCCCCCTTAACCTGTATATAATCCCGGTCGTCTCAAGAGCTCCCCACTTGGTACAGCTTTTTTGCTGTGACTGTTCCACCTGAAGACGGAAGCTTGTATTGCCTCCGAAACGTCGTGATTTAATTTAGTTTTCATGTATTTTATTTTACCTACGTGACTTTACCGAAAAAGCCAAAGAGTATGAATCCTTGCAGTCACGAAAGCTTCAAATCTAGAATTAAAGTTGTCTAGAACTTGGAGATACAAACCAGCGCTAGAAGGACCCTCCTCGGTATCCCGGCACAGCCGGCCGAGGTGCACCCTCTAGGGCAGAGCAGCGGTCCAAGACCCATGATCTCAGAATCATAATCTGTATCTAGATTGGAGGAATACAATGATCTATGAAGCTCTGTTTCACAGATAGATCTCTACTAGGTTCACAGATGTCCAGTTTTCATCGCGGCCTAAAATATTTTTTCCTGCACGCTTTGTGCGATCACTACCATTATTATTATGGTCTCCACGGATCCGGCGATCAAAGGGATCACACCCCCGAGCAGATGGTGGGGATTCTGTGAGGGCAGATCCTTGGCGGTTGTCGCGCGTCTCCTGTGCGGCAGCCACAGCATCCGGCAGAGGAGAGCAAGCGCTGGCAAGGTGGTATAAATGGCTTCGGCCATGATGACGTCCTGATCTTTAGGATCCTCATTTAACGTGGTAGATACGTTCCTGAAAAGTGCTCCGTTAAGCGAAAACGCGTTCAGAGAGATCAACTTCCCCCAAAAGAAATAATGTAAAGAATAAGGTTTGGCAAAATATGGAATTCGCACACACATTGAGATGGCGTATCGTTCCGTGCGGATAACCAGAATTCCCACACCACTCAGCTGCACAACTCAAGAAAGTAGTTTGTCATCGACTGCTCAGAAGCCGTGTTAAAACGGTGCTCATTTTGCGTGGTGCAAAAAGTATGCCTCATGGAAGAAACGTGTTTTAGCGAAAGCGCATTGTGTAAAAACAGGTTCAGCAACGACTTACTGTAAAACTATTTTTTTTTTACCAGGGAAGGCCCACTGAGCTCTATAGTTCTTTTTCAGAAGTGACCAAGCTACAAATGATAGCTCAACGAAGTGGCTTATCATCATGTGGAATTGTATATCAGCCGAATAGTCTAAACGTATGTTTCTAAATGTGGAGGGGAAAACCGGAGGACCTGGAAAAAAATCCACACGACCACAGGGAGAACATGCAAACTCCAAATATACAGCAGGCGTCAGGGTCGGAATCAAATCCACGACCTCCTGTATACCAGGCGGGGTAGTTAACATCTCTGCCACCATGACGCCTCATGTACTTCCGAAAATGAACGCAAGTTGGAAACGTCACAGAATCCATGCGTTTGCGTGATTTGCCTCAATTCGTTTAGATGTGTGAAATGGCCAGAGCGATGCTCGTATCTAAAGCGCCCTCGTTTTTGTTCCTCAGGGGCGTCCGGGCCGAGCACGATGGTGGCACCGGTGAAGCACCACGTGGACAATCAGCTGCGGTGGCTGGAGGTGGCGCGGGGCATGGCGGGGCAGCCCATCGCCCTGCAGGGCATCGCGCTCACAGGCTGGCAGAGGTAAAGATCCAGGGCAGGCTTCTTCAACCGTGGGCCTTCTTCGACCGTGGGCCCTCCGTGATGTTCTCTCACAATTGTCAGTCAAACGCAGCCATTCTGTATGCAGGAGCCGAGCGAAACCCACTCGAATGACAAACTACTGAAAGAAATGCAATGTAGATATAAATGACCGATTAACTGTGCCCTGTGCAATTTATATACGAATTGCCAAATGTTTTGAGAGCTTTGTAAATTATCAGTTACAAATGGCAAATGTGCTGCTCACCTCTGTCGCACCTCCGATTAGCACGGTTGGCTACGTACACTGCAGCTATTATCGATGTGACTGAATTTCTGGAGGTTGGGGAGTGGAGGTGGTAGGGATAGTGAGGTGGGGGGGGGGGAGTGGTTGTGTGTGCCCTGATGTAGGTCGTGTGCGTGCCGTGCGTGCCGCAGGTACGACCACTACTCGGTGCTGTGCGAGCTCCTCCCCGTGGCCATCCCGTCGCTCGCCGCCTCGCTGCAGACGCTCATCCACGGTGCGAAGGCGGGTGGTGGTGGGGGGGGAGGGGGCGAGGGAGGAACTTTCTCGCAGCGGCTCCGGGCGTTGAGCGACGCCACCTCTGTGTTGTCCGCGTGTCCTCGAGACTATAAAACTTTTTTTACTCTACTTTTTTATTTTACCAGGTAAAGCTCCAATTGTCTGGCGGAGGAGCAGAGCTATCGGCTATTCGTCTGCACTACTTCTCTCTCTCTATCACTCTCTTTTTTGTCATTCGTCACTTGGCCACTGACGGTGAGGCTGGACGAACTTCTCACACTCCTTCCGTCCTCCGGTCATGGCGATCGTTTCCTGTAGGCTTACGTTTTTTCCATTTGAGTCCTCCTTTGCGCCGTAAATCCACCTCTTGCGTTGATGCCCACTGCCCCTCCGATTAGCACAGTTGGCTATGTACGGTGCGAAAGAAGTTTAAGTTACATATTTACGTTGCTTCTCATGCCCTCCGCGAAGCAGCAGTTCAAGGTCATCGATGGCGATTTGTGGGCCTCCACTCTTTTCTGTGCTGTGAAACTTTCAGCGGAATGCGTGCACTTGCAGCTGTCGCTGTTGCGCAGGAACCCTGTGGTGTACCGTGTCCCACACATGCCCCAAACGCTGCAATTGCCCAACCGTGCTTACGTGTGTTTGTCTGTCTGTGTGTGCAGGTGGATTCACTGATGAGGCCAAGAAGTTAACCACTGAACTCCTGGGTTTCCAGAGCCTGACCGATGCAGCACAGTTTACCTGGTGAGTGGCGGTGGTAGAATCTCCTTCTTCTTTCGCATGGCAAGAGAAACTGACAACGGGAGGTTTAGTTTGGCGAGACACTCAATGGCTTCCTGAGATGCTAAGTGGAGAAATGAAGTGCAGCAGATCTAAGTGGGCAGGTTGATGCCATGCATTCCGTGGTCTGGGACTCATGCCCATAGTCGCACTTCCACTTGCAAAGCAGGTGGCCGTGTCATCGCCACCCCCCCTTATCCTGTGTGGATTCGGTTGAGTGCTGTCCACTGTCTCCGAGGGAGGTCAAAGCTAGGGAACTCTGCTGCTGCATCAGTGATGAGGTCTTGGTTAATTGTTTTTTTACCCTTTTTATCTGGCAACTAACTGACACCTTTTTTACAAGGAGTCATGTTTGCATTGACCACAATACCTGCGGTCAGAATGCAAACAAAAAACATAACTCTGATTTTGCTACTGGCAAAGGAGGTTCCAATGGTTACGTCTTGGTTCTTCACGTTGTGTGCATCCCACGCCGTGCCTGAGAGCCTCGTTTGGTGTTCGTCTCACAGGGAGGGCTCCGGCACGTTCCCCGGGTACGAGATCTATCGCGACGTCACCTGGGTCAGTGCCAACCTGCGGTCCTCCGTCGCCGACGTGCTGGAAAAAAACGAGTAAGATGTGTGCTCTCAACCATCTTCCTTTATGAAGCATTACAATGTGCAGGAATGACACAGTATGATACATTAATTGGATGTTTATGGTTCATGTAATAATAATCGCCATGGTGGCGAGATGTTAAATACCTCGCCTGTTATATAATTGAGGTCGTCGGATATATCCTGACCCTGATGCCTCTATATTTGGAGTTTGCAAGTTCTTGCCATGGTTGATTGGATTGTTCTCCAGTTCCTCCGGTTTTTCCCTCCACATTTAGAAACATGTTTTTAAAGTATTTGGCTGCTAAAAACTTCTACATCACAAGCCACTTAATTTAACTATAATTTGCGGCCAGGTCGCTTCTGAAAAGAGCTACATAGCTCATTGGGCCTTACCTGATAAAATAAATATAGTAATAAATAGTTAATTATAATTCACAGCCCTTTGTTAAAACACTGCTTTATGAAGATCTGTCCATGCCATGTCAATGGTAGAAGTTGTTTGACCATACTTAACACTGGTCAGTGTGGATTGGTGAAGGGGGTGACCAGGACCAGTTCAGATATCACGCGCCACTGATGTTAGCCGTAGCGGATAAATCCAGACTGAGGATTGCCGGATTCAGAGAGCAGTGCACTAACCGCTGCACCATCACTCTCCCTTACAGCACTTTTGATTTAAAAATGTTCTTTATTAAAGTTTACTAATGGATGAGTAGCAAGTATAGATTTTTGTTTTAAATAGGATGTATTATTATCATTACTATGCTTGTTTTTTTACCTCACTGAGTTCGTGACTCTTTCAGGAGGGTCCTGGCAAGTTTTTTTCCGCAGTAGGGGGCGATGATTGCTCTGTAGATTCCAATGCAGTAGTTATCTGGTGATGTTGGTTGTCGTTTCATCATCGGCAGGTTTTTGAAGGGCTGGTTTTCACCCTACCACCGGAAGCACAAGTTTGGAAATCCACTGTACATGGAGCACTTTGGACAGAAAACGAGCCAGTGAGTGCGCAAGTTAATCTTTTGTACTCGCAAATCACCAAATATTTTTATCAACTAATTGGAAAATGTTTTTAAAAAAAATGTATTTTAAATGGCCTATCCTTTTCATAAACGTATATCTGGATCCATTAAGTGTGGGAGAATGAGTTAGTGTCTCAAATTCAACTTTGGCCAGGACAATCCCAATTTGATAAAGGCTGCCCGAAGGTGTTCCGAAGCTTTTGCGCAAATTATTATTTTTTCCGGGTTCAACATTTTCTGGCGTCATTCCTAACTCATCATCCGGCAGAAAGAGGGCTGAGCTACCTGAGTGGTGGGCGTGGCTACCTGAGCAGTGGGAGGGGGTTACCTGGGTAGTGGGAGGGGCTACCTGTGTAGTAGGCAGGCCCTATGAGCAGTGGGCAGGGTAAATGTCAAAGACAAAGAGGCCTCTTCGGTGTGGGCGGGGCTCATTGAATGGGCGTGGTTATTCACTGAAAGTGGGCTGGGCTGTGTCCATGTTGCGCCTCAGAGATATTTGGTAGCTTCAAGAGAGAATTTCTACTCGAGTTTATCTCGGGGGACCCTCGCTGTGTTCCTGAGCACTCCATATGTACCGCGCTTTTGTCAGGGTGCACGATGGGCTGGAGGAGATAGTGGGGAGGCTCAGGGGCGAGATGGAGAGGGTGTTCTTCCCGGACGCGGTGGAGGAGTGGCTGGACGAGCACGTCAACCCGGAGATGCAGCCGCTGCGGGCCCTTGTGAACGACTTCAAGGAGGTCATCGCTCTGCGGGCACGGCCCAAGTCCTGAGCACCGGCGTCGTCTGCAGGCAGCGCCTCACTGGGCGCTGTCTGTGGGCTCTGTGGGGTGGACGCGGGGGAAATTCCATGCACCCCTCAATCATGTATCATTGTGGACCACCGTGGCTCGTGACGCTGCCTTGGGGAGTGGCTGCTCAGAGGTGCAGATTCATCCCACCCAACCCAACGCTCTACCTGTTAGCACACGGGAGATATTAATCATCGTCTTCATCATCATGAACTATGATCAGTCCACTGCTGGATGACGGCTTCCCCATGCCATGTCGATCAAAGGGGATGTTTTGACCTTACTTCACCATGCTGGTCAGTGCGGGTCGGTGAAGGGGTGGGCGGGCGGGGGCACCCAGGACTGGTGCAGATAATCACTCTCGCCGCTGGTGTTAGCCGTGGCTGGGAATCGAACTTGGCAAAATTGGATTGTAACATAGTGCACTAACCACTGCGCCACCGCTGCACCCGAGACATTCATAGAACGCATCCATGCATCGATTTATAGTCGAATCTTATGCTCGTGATAATTGGCGTGAATTGTGCGTGAGAATCGCTTCTTTTCAGTTTGTACGTGTTGTCGAGAGTGGGCTCCCGGGACGATTGCAGAGGTGAATCGCGACCCTGAGTCGTGACAATATTGAATGGCGACAGGCAAATTGTAACATCCCCGTGTCGCCATGTTCAAACTGAAATATCGCTTGCGTGAGTGGGTGAAGGAAGGGTGGAGTACAATACAGCAAGTGAAAACATCAACGTTGACAACTGCGTCTTGTTAAGTGTTGGGTTCTGAAGTTGCATTTGGTGATTCCAGAGGACGAGAGCCAGCGGCGTTATTTGCGTTTGGACCTTTCTCGGTACCATTTGAAGTGTAGCTGTGATGCACCTGCGCAAAGAATAATTCTTCACCCGGAGCTTAGCTGAAGAAGGCTCTGAGCAGCACGGTCCATTTCCATGAGGTCGGATCCATTCTTAGTGGTTGTGATTGGTGTAATGGTGGGGTTAAGCTTTGTGTCTGCCCCTGACTTAATATAAAAATGTATGTATGTTGAATTTAATTTGCACCGCACGTAGCCAAATGTGCTAATCGGAGGTGGGAAAATTACAATTATGTATAATTATTTACAAGTGCAATCATGGAACTAAGATTAAACAATGTTGGTCCTGTGGTACGACATTTTGCATTACTGTAAAACGTAAACAAACAAAGTCAATTGGCAGTGCTATATTTACCATGCACGGTAAAATATCCAGAATATATTTTATTCACTGTTTACCATTTAAATTTCATACGTGTACTCTGCAGAGTTCACGATATCAATACCACATGCTCTCTTTGCTCTTATGCTCATTGTCCCATTTTTGACTCTCACTGGAGAGTGCACTTTTTATTGCTGCTGCCTTTATAATTTGCTCTTGCTAAGAAGTCATCCAGCAACTTTGCCCAACGGGTTGAATAGAACTCTTGGTTTTCAAACATTTGTATATGTTTTGAATGCAGTGGAGTCATTGGTTTTTTTTTATAGCTATTTATTACAATGCTTTGTGTGCATTGCTAGCAAATCCACACTTAGCGAAGTTTTGTCACCATTGATGCGATATCCACAATAAAGAGTTTGTCTCTGTTGCACAATTAATATTTAGAGTCATGAGACCATGCCTTGTGTCTCATCGAGACACAAGGCCCATCCTGTGGGGTGTCCTCACAGGATGGGCAGTCTGGTTTTGTGGGGTCTGCCTTTGTATTCGAACACGTGTGTTCCTGTAGACCAGGGATTGACTTCTCCGCAACGCATGGGCCACACGCAGTTGATGATCTTGGCGACATATATGTATGTTTAACTTATATCGCACCATACATAGCCAACCGTGCTAAGCGGAGGTGCAGGGGAAGGACAACAAAGCAAACATAAGGCAGTTCTAAACAAGTGAGTTCTAAATCTTGATTTAAAAGTGCAGAGCTCCAGTGGCTTTATAATATGTTTCCATATTAACCAAACTTTGGGCACATTACAAGCTCGCTGTCTGTTTAAAGAGCAAGTGGAACAGGTTGGTGTTTTTTTGGAAGACACCTGTGTGTGTACCGAGTGGCCTGTGAGTGATATAATTTAGGTGCTGCTCTGTGGACTCTGTGTGGGAGAATCGACAAACCACTTGTAGGCCTCGCCGCCTACTAACCTACTAGATTTGGAATGTTTAGTAAGTGCTGACTTAAGCCGTTGAATGCATTGAGCTGTCTCTGGCTACGTTGATCTGTCTCAAAAGCGAATTTGGGAATGTAACGAAGACTCTCGTTGCAAGGAATTGGCTGCTTCAAGATGCAATACGGCAAGAAATTAATCACTCATTGGTTTTTTCGGTAAAGTCACGTCTGTAGAAATACCATAAAATTAGATTAAAATAAATCAATCACAACGTTTCGAACGCAACACAAGCGATCTTCATCAGGTGTAAAAAAACAAAGCGAGGGAGCATATAGGGCGACACCAACGCAACACAGAGCGCCAAACTGCACGGAGGTAAATACAGTTTGTCGCTCTCTTTGTGTTGCGTTGGTGTCGCCCTATATGCTCCCTCGCTATTTGTGTTTTTACACCTGATGAAGATCGCTTGTGTTGCGGTCGAAACGTGGTGATTGATTTATCTTAATATAATTTATATGGTATTTCTAAATACGTGACTTTACCGAAAAAAACAATGAGTAATTTATGCAGTCACGAAAGCTTTAATTCTTTATTCTTGGTTCTTTCGGTAAAGTCACGTTGAAGGGAAACAATAAAATATATATAAAACAATAAAATTCTCACGTTTCGACTAACACAAACAGTCATCATCAGGTGTGAACACCAACGGCAACAACATTTGAAAGAAGTGGCGGTTTGTATTTATTTATTTTGTAACGTTAGCACCACAGATAGCGATTTGACAGTTTGTTTAGAAGGACGAGTCCATCTATGTTCGGAAAAGAGGAGGGGGGAGACGAAAATTTAATGTATGCTGTCTGAAAGCCACCGTAAGCGTGCACAATCAAGACCCGAAATGGTTTATCAAATCCTTCCAATGACTGCTAAGACAGAATCCATCTTCTCGGTTGAAATTGTCTCTGTGTTTGTAAATGTGGATAGCTTCATGAACGAATCTCTCATGGTAGCTCGATGGCTTGCGAAGAACCTCTGTCTTGGAGAAGTCAATGTTATGTGAGCCTACTGAATTATAACAGTGATCTGCCACGGCCGAGGTGTTGGTCCTACCGTGTTTTAGGTCTGCTTTGTGCTCACGAATGCGGTCCGAGACATGTCGTTTGGTTTCTCCAATGTAACTACTACCACAGAGGCAACTTAGTTTGTAGACACCAGGGTACTGTATGTCCGGAATCGCATCTTTTACAGACGGAACCAGATCACGGATTTTATGTAATGTGTTGAAACGGACCTGGATCTTGTGTTTATTCAAGATTTTGGAGATATTTTTTGTGATCCCCACAATGTAGGGTAAAGTGATGGTTTTGAAAGGCTCCTCAAGAGGTTCCTTCTTCATGGTTTGAGTGATAGCTTTGCGGATTGTATAGTGGGAGTAACCATTAGCCTTAAGAGCTTGGTGTACGTGCTTGAGTTCACTGCCTTTGTGTTCCTGGTCGGATATGCATTGGGCTCTATGGTGCAGAGTCTTGATGAGAGAATTCTTCTGTGATGGATGGTGGTGGGAATCCGGTTTCAGGTAAGCATCCGTATGGGTAGCTTTCCTGTAGACAGAGTGGCTCATTGAACCACCAGGTCTCTTTTTTATTAGGACATCCAAAAAAGGTAGGTTGCCATCTTTTTCGACTTCCATGGTAAATCTGATGGCTGGGTGTATGGAATTGATGTGGTCGAAGAATTGGTCTAGAGCAGGCCGGCCATGTGGCCAAATGACAAAAGTGTCATCCACGTACCTCTTCCATAAGGTTGAGCGCAGAGTGGCAGTCTGGATGGCGTCAGTCTCAAATTTCTCTGAAAATGTTGGCTATAACCGGAGATAGGGGGGAGCCCATTGGGGTGCCCTCAGTTTGTTTGTAGAAAGTTCCATTCCAAGTGAAGTTTGTATTGGTTAAGCAGTGTCTCACCAGGGGGGGTACCTCAGTGTTTAGTCCTTGATGAACCAAGTCTTCAATGATTGCGATGGTGTCAGGTAGAGGAACTTTGGTGAATAAGGAAACTACATCAGTGGAAGGATTTGATAAACCATTTCGGGTCTTAATTGATTGTTCACGCTTACGGTGGCTTTCAGACAGCATACATTAATTTTTCGTCTCCCCCCTCCTCTTTTCCGAACATAGATGGACTCGTCCATCTAAACAAACTGTCAAATTGCTATCCGTGGTGCTAACGTTAAAAAATAAATAAATACAAACCGCCACTTCTTTCAAATGTTTCTTGCCGTTGGTTTTCGCACCTGATGATGACTGTTTGTGTTACAGTCGAAACGTGATAATTTTATTGTTTTATATATATTTTATTATTTTATTGTTTCCCCTCAACGTGACTTTACCGAAAGAACCAAGAATATGAATCGCTGCAGTCACGAAAGCTTTAAATCAAAACTTTAATTCTTTATTAAGAAATGAATGCTTTCACAAGACAAGGTTGGTTGGACCGAGACCCTGTAAGTAAATGTTAATAGCGTCGTCGTGCATGCAGAGCCTTGGTTCCAGTGTGCGGTGTTACTTTCCGCGGTCATCAGGGGCCACCTCTGCCCGCACGCGTTTTGCCAGTGTGGCACGTGAGACGCGGTCGGGGCCAGGGAGCATTTTGTTGCTACACCACGTTAGGTGGGCACAAATGAAGTGGACTGCTAGCGGTGTAACTTGCGCTGCGTAAATATCTGCATCATGATCTGATTTGGTTTACGTCTCGTGTGCTTTGCCACACAGTGAATTTACGTGCACTTATACGACACAACATCATGCACGTGAAATTGTCTGTTGACCTGATCGGCCCTGTGTGTTTTGGTGTTAACTGTGCTGTATATTTGGCTTTGTCTTTAAGCCAATCGTGTTAGATTGTGTTCGTCGTATGCTACTCCATTGAATACGAAGTATACACACACACAAGTCCTTGTGTTTGGGATTAAGCAAATGTGGTAGTTTATTGTCAAATATCAGAACGCATAATCATTGGAATGAAAACCACGTTGCCTGCAAATTAATCCACATATACAGTTGTGTAATCTCTCATGAATGCCTCGGCACTGTTTGTGAGCTGTCTAATAACGTGACGTTTAATGTCGTAACCTGTGTACAAGCGGTATAATTACGTGTGATGATGGCGTTTAGTTTTACGGTGTTGACATTATTGACGAATGTGTCGTGTATGAAGCTGTTTTGTGATATCACCTGCCTGGTTATAGGCGCCTTACCATTAAAATAGCGCTCTAATCTCCGTGGGACTGATTACTGGTGAAATAAATGCTCAAATGAACACGAACGCTGTTTAGGGGCCTCTTTTACGTTATTGCCGATACGTGCGAGGCAGTTAATGAATGCCGTACCCCGTCAGCTATCATTGAGCGTTTGAACTTGCAGACAGATCCAACAATAATGTAACTCAAGTGCTGAATTAATCAACCATCCCCATATCACAACAACAAAATTTACTCGACACATACCTCAATAACACCGCATTGAGAGGAAAAATGTATGACGGGTGATGTTCCAGGCATTTACCATGTTCTATGAAGAAGGGCGATTGCCCAAAACGTCGCCGTTTTTTTATATATATGCAGTACAGTAATACCCCGGTTTACGTCTGGGATACGTTTCTGAAAGGTGTGACTATGCATATGGCAACGACGTAAATCGGGGTATTACTGTATTTTTTAATATATACATAATTTTCCTCGTCAGGCAGTGTTATTGCCGAAAGTTTTGAGTTTATCACGTGCCCGTGCAGCACTGCCAATGCAGCGCTACCAAATAATATGTTTAAAATATCCCATGTGAAAAGATTATTGGAGCTCCACTGACGAGTTTGAGCCGTGTGGAATAAGCGTAGCACAGGTGCTCGATGGATTGTTACACAAACCTGTCAACCCCTTATCAGTGCCTACCTTATTACAGACCAATCCAGACCTTATTTGTCACCCCGTGCCCTTATAAATCTCAACGTTCATCCTACAAAGTCCCATCACAAGGGAGAAACACAAAATAAATAGACATTTTTTTATTATTACCCGTATTGAAACGGTTGCACGCCGTATGGACCCCGAAAACTCAATTTCCCTGTACAAAAATGCGTGGTATTCTACCTCCGTGACTTTACCGACAGAACCAAACAGTATGGATTCCTGCAGTCACGAAAGCTTCAAATCAAGATTGAATACGTTGTAAATCGTGTGGGTTGACACGGTACGGTTGTTACACCGCAGAGCCGTGAGGTACGCCGATGGCTCGCGGAGGATTCCACGCAAGCGGTGGATTAATCATGATCGACGATGGTGACCATCAATTTAGATCACGTCTTGCTGCCTTCTGGGATGGCGCAGTTCGACAAGCAAGGCACGCAGTCAAAAACTCGAATCGAGTCGGGTGTCTCTCGGCGTAGAACGAGTGTGGAGTAGTAACGCTTGTGTTCTGGCAGCCTGGAGCGCAGTGAGTGATATA